ACACACGCACAGAGAGAGAGAGAGAGAGACGGAGGCAATTTCGTCGACGCGCGTATTTCCCGAAACGTACACATATCTATCCGAAGTTTTCATTTAAACGAACGGCGAATTATTAATTATAAATCGTTTAATTAATCGGGCGAAAAACAAGAGCCACGGGGGAGGGGGGGTTAAGGGGGGAAGAACGAAATATTTTTCGGTAGAATTTTTATGCGCCACGTCGCCGTGAACGTCGCCTGTCAAGCGTTAAGCGTTGCGAGAATTCGCGCGCGAATATTGTGTATAATAGATCGTGCATAAACGAATCGATTATCGAGCAATAAATGACCGAATCAATAAGTGGCAATTTGCATCAATTATTAAAATATAAGAACGTAACGGAGCCTTTGACTAATTACCATTGAAAAATTTCTGCTGCCTTTCGTAAATCCATTGTGTGTAATGCGCGAAATTATTGCGATATCATTGAACGACGGATGAACCGGGACCAATAACGACGATAAATTGTTTCGTCAGAACGAAATGGGAAATTAAGGACGTTCAAACGTTCTCTAGAAATAGTAAAGAATTCGTTTCAACGACTGTACTGACAACGAGTTCATCATGGTCTTGAAGATTGAAATTTTCTTTCTACAACGTAAAACTTATTGTATGATTCCCCCCTTTTTTTTTTCATCATTTTATCGTCACTTTGAACATCAAGGATTAACCTTGAACATCAGTTGCCCTTGCGCTGGCAACTGATTCGCGGACCATAACGAGTGACCGAACCGTATACAATAGTTCGTCGCTTTCCTCTTCTTTTGAACTCGTCGGTACGATAACACTGGATAGAAATTATTAACAAGTAACAAATTTATTATTCTAAAATATCTGAGCTTTTCAGAAATATATAATTAACCTTCGAAGGGTGGAAACATTTTGTGAATCAGCGGAGGAAGTTGAAGAGGAGACATTGGACGAAGGATAAAGTTTCAAGGTTGAAGAGAAAAAAGTCCAAAAATATGTGAACTTTTTTAAAAATATATAATTAATTTGTTTTGCCTGAGATTATATTTAAATATACTTGAAATATACTTAAAACTTAAATATATTTAAATATATATTAACTTAAATTGTATAATATATATTATTATATATTATATAAACTTAAATTAAATATATATAAACCTAAATATATTAAATATATTTAAACTGAAAAAATTTTGCAACTTGGAGCAAAAAATTCTCGACGCGCGTGGCACGTCATTCCAGCGCAAGAGATTAAATGACGAGACGTTGGGATTTTTCGAATTTCTGTCTTTTTAATCCCACTTTGATGAATTATAGAAAAAGAAAAAAAAAAAAATAGAATCGCGCAGCAACAAGTCGGTGTAATAACTTCAATCTTCGAAAACAAATTGGATCACGGAAACAGCTTTACTGCGATACTTTGAAAAGATGTTTACAATTTTTACAATTTCCTTCGCTCCCCCCATCGACAATGCCATGTAAAAACATTTTTCGAAAAGAACAAACTTGGTACTGACCAAGGCAACAGATTCTTTTTCGCCAAGTCACATTCGAAGTGTATCGATGAATTTTTCATTGTCATTGATACGAAAGAAACGGGGAGGGGGGGGGGGATTTATTTTCCACGTAATCGCTCGCCACGTAATTGCTTCAAACGGAACGAAAATTTGCTCCCCCAAAAATATTTCCATCGAAAGTTCGCGCGAATTTTTTCCCTTTTTTTTTTTTTTTCTTCTTTTTTTCACATATTTTTCCATTCAATTTCAACGAACTATGTCGACAGTGCAATTACACGGAGGGCGGGAGGGGGAGGGACGTTGCGCAATGGTGTTTCCGCGACAAAGATGGGATAGCCACGGTATTGAGAATACAACGCGGATTTACCCTACTGCTAAAGAGCGTAATAACGCGTCGAATCGTTAGGGTTCTGCATCGTGTCAAGCGCACACACACCCTAGCCGAATGAAAATACGAAAACAATTTGGGTAAATTAATCCCTGGCAGATCCATGTAATTTTCTCGCCTCTGCTATATACGTTTTATATCCGTCACGTCTAACTCGCGTTTCCGCTGAAATCTCTCTCCTCTTTTTTTTCTTTCTCTCTCTCTCTCTCTCTCTTTTTTATTTTTTTTATTTTTTGGACTCTCCGACAAAAGTTTTATAAGTTCCATTTCGCGCGTGGTTCAAAGTTCCTATTTCCACGGTGGCATTAATTAGGTATTATTGTTACGTGTATTGTGTATTAGAGATTTTTTCGCTTTCATTTTCTTTCTGTTTTCCTTCGACTTATTTTTAGAGAAAAATATAGAATCACACCGTAGCCGATGGTACCATAATCTCGGGGACACTGTGCGCAGTGTCATTATCTCGTTATTTTTCGTTATTTATAGTGACTGCAACTGTGTTTTATTATTATATGTATTCAATACAGAATATATATGCGTGTTACAAAATTATGTATAATATAGTTACGAAGGGTTTTTCCCACCACGGAAATGAAGTACAGTGTTACATCTCGCAATATTCTTTCACCTCGTCGAAAGTCGGAAATAGCTTTCCAACTATCGTGCATAAAACTTTGAAACTTTTAATCCGATTTCTTAGAACTTACACGCGTGCTCGTGCACAAGAGAAAACGAATTGATGAAACAAGCTAGAAGTTTGAGTCTTTTCTTCTTTTCAGAATATTTTATGGCTCTCTCACTCAAAAATTATACACGTTTATATTCAGAACTTTGTCAGACTTGTTGCGTTTGAGAAAAATCTGAAGTCAAGCTAGTCGAAACTGATTGGCAACGAATTTCACAAAAAAAAAAAAAAAAAAAGAAAGGAGACATTCTGATTAATAACAAGAAATTATCCAATTAACTTACAGTACGTAAAATTCAGCACGAAAGTCGCTATCAATAGCGCATGATCGGATCTAGAAAATGCGATTGATTCGTCATCACCGGCGAAATAATAGCAGAATGAATTCGAAATGAAAGTCCCATTAACAACGGGAACTTCGTTCTTGTTTCCAGCAAAAAACTCTTTATACAGAACCAACAAAAAAAAAAAAAAAAAAAAAAAGAAAAAAAATGGATTGATGCAAATGAAAAAGTGAAAATGAAAGAGGAAGAATAGAAAATTAACGTTGAAAGAATGAAAAGAGTAACAAGGAAGTTCGCAGTTGGGTACGTCAGGTGCATGCAACGAAATTCCATAAAAATGTTCGACGAGATATTAAAGAACAATAAACATTTTTTTTTTTTTTTTTATCAATTTCTCACCCTCCCTATCACCGAGGCCAAGCAATATTAATAACGACGAGGCGCGGTTGTCAAGCGCAGATAACGTTGTTAAACGAGTTTCGAAAGTTGTTGATATTTTGTGTAAAATCGTTGGCAAATCGTAGCATCGTGTTGAAATAACGATCGCGAATAATGATTTTTTTCCCCGATTTTCGTTCGATTCTACGTTGAATCGAAAACTACGAACGAATATTTCCGGTATTTTTTCTTTTTTTTTTTTCTATAAATTTCAATAAAAATGTAGATTACTGCTATATTAAGAAGAGAATTCACTTGAAAAAATTATTAATTATTGTGATCGTGTAACGACTGGATGGCGGATTTTTATACGATTGTAAGGAATTTCAATGTAAAACAAAATATACAGCGCTCCTTGCAATACTTAGAATACTTTTTTAGACTTTATCTTTCTAAAAAAATTCGAAAAATTTTTTCCAGGATTTTATTTTATTTAAATATGACTCTGTCAGTCATCCAGAAGTACAGTGTGTTTTTTTTTTTATCATAACTTTAGTTAGTTATAACAGTTTCACGATTCGAGAATTTATCAAGGCAATTTTCAACAAAGCACGCTCAAAGTCTAGCCTCTCTAAATTTTATTCTACTCTTATTTACTTCCTGCATTTTTTGCGATGTGAATTAACCTCCTGCTAATCTCTCCTGCAGAATTCTGCTAACTTTTCGAATGCTAACTTTTTCCGTCTTCAATTTTCTCGACTCGAAACGAAGCCTCGAATTTCACTCTGTCTTATCTTTTTGTTCGCCGTTCAGTCAGAGGCAGAGACGATTTTAACACTAGGGTCTGACGCCTCGCTGTCGTACCCCCGAAAGGTAAACGCCGAAGGGAAACGCTCAAGGTCCGGCAAGATGTGTCAAACGCATCGACGTACGCTAGACTCGCGTAGACACCGCTCTCGTCTAGACACGCGTTGGAGTGGCGGCCAACGAAAATTCGAAAAGCCGTTTAGGTAAATCAATCCACCGCTTTAGGGTCAACGCTTCGGCGACGTTGTAGCTCGAGGCAGTAATAAAGTGGCGAGCAGCAGCGAAGCGAAGGGTGGCACCGAAGGCGAGGCTGGGTGGAAAAGGGATGGGAAAGGGGGTGGAAAATTTTCCAGAGTTCATGTGCGTTTGACGTTGGCCCGTTCAACGGTTCGGTAATACATGGTCTTTAATATTACGAAATCACGCGGCACCCTCTCGCCGCTCTCCTGCTTTCCGAGTTTCGCCACGCGAATGCTTGCAGGGAGAGTTGGAAAGAAGTATTAATCCTTTCAGGCACGATTCTGACGACTTGTTGTCAGAGTTTTGTGGATGTTCCAGAATCTTTGTGGAATATAAAATTGTGTTGATAATCATAATGTGAATTGTGTTAATGACAGATAGTTAATTATATAAGTTTGATAATTTTTGTAGCTTTGAATGTTGATTTCTTTTATACGTGAAATTTAGGAGAGTTAGAAAGAAGTAACCCTTTCAGGGACAATGTCCAATGTTAGTCAGACTTTCTGTGGAATATAAATTATATAAATTATATTAATAATACTAATATAAATTGTATTAATAAGATAAATTATGTTAATAACAGATAATTAATTATACATGTTCGACAATAATTCTTGTAGCTTTAAATGTTGATTTCTTTTATACGTGTGATTTAGGAGAGTTAGAAAGAAGTAACTCTTTTAGGGACAATGTCCAATGTTAGTCAGACTTTCTGTGGTATATAAATTATATTAATAATAATAATATAAATTATATCAATAACAGTTAATTATATAAGTTTGATAATTTTTGTAGCTTTGAATGTTGATTTCTTTTATACGTGAAATTTAGGAGAGTTAGAAAGAAGTAAGCCTTTCAGGGACAATGTCCAATGTTAGTCAGACTTTCTGTGGTATATAAATTATATTAATAATAATAATATAAATTATATCAATAACAGTTAATTATATAAGTTTGATAATTTTTGTAGCTTTGAATGTTGATTTCTTTTATACGTGAAATTTAGGAGAGTTAGAAAGAAGTAACCCTTTCAGGGACAATGTCCAATATTAGTCAGACTTTCTGTGGTATATAAATTATATAAATTATATTAATAATAATAATAATAATATAAATTATCAATAACAGTTAATTATATAAGTTTGATAATTTTTCTGTGGAATATAAATTATATAAATTATATTATTAATAATAATAATAACATAAATTATATCAATAACAGTTAATTATATAAGTTTGATAATTTTTGTAGCTTTGAAGGTTGATTTCTTTTATACGTGAAATTTAGGAGAGTTAGAAAGAAGTATTAACCCTTTCAGGGACGATGTCTGACATTAGTCAGACTGCTCCAGACTTTTTATAAAATTAAATTATACCAATAACAGGTAGTTAATTAGATAAGCTTGATGACACAATTTTATAGCTTCAAACATTAGCGATATGCAAACAAATTGCATTAATAGAGTTTCAATAGAATTTCATCTACATAAACGGGAGGTGAAAGGGGAAAGAAAAGGATTTGACATATAAATAAGAAGGAAGAGTGAAATCATCGACACGTTGTAATAGAAAGGGGGACGTCCCTCTTTATTTAATGCTCGCAAGGAAGGAGGGAAATATCCACGAAGAATTCCATTTCACACCGGCACGATTAGGGTGGAATTGCTCCGATGGCTCTGTTTAATATTGTATCCCCTCCTGCGAACGAACGCTTCGCTTCATTACAAACAACTATGGACAATTAATTACGGTCAAGCCTGTCTATCAATTTCGATCTCAACGCATCTGTATAATTTACCACACCTTTTTCCTTTCATCCGGCACATGATCGGTCCCGAATTTCGATTCGATCAATCATCCATGCGCCTGTCGCTCGGAACGTTGTAGCGAGATAGATAACCGCGTTATCTCGCCGCACAGTTCTCACACAAAATTGCGAATTTTCCAGGTGAAAATCTGGTTCCAAAATCGGCGAATGAAATGGAGGAACAGCAAGGAGAGGGAGCTGCTGGCAACGGGCGGCTCTCGGGAGCAAACGTTGCCGAACAAGAACAATCCGAATCCGGACCTGAGCGACGCGGACGGGGACAGGCCGAGGATGGATCTGAGCGACGTGAGCCCTTTGACGAGCCCGCAGCGGCCGGAGGAACAAACGGAGAACGAGGAGGACGAGGAGATCAATGTCACGTGATGAAATTCCAGCGGTGATCCCGACGGGAACGTGTTCGTTTGATCGTGGCTCGTGATTCAGGACTGAACGCAAGGAACAATCAACAGGCGGACGAGAAGAATTCACACGCGTGAATTTCAATGAATGGAAGAAGTTTCACCCTACACTCCCCCTCGCCCCCTCCCCCTCGCCTAAATCAAAGTAATCAAAGTGTGCCCGTTCGATGAAATAATAATAATAAAGTTCGTTATATTTAGATTCCCGGGATTCGCAGGAATTCGGAGGAAATTCTGAAGCTTGGTCAACACATTGGGCACAAAGATTCTCGGTCGCGAGTATTTTATATGTTAAGATATATATATATATATATATAGTATATATATATGACTGTGAATGTTTGATATGCATACCAGATAGACATACGAAAAAAGAGACACGTCGGAAGCAATAGAGGAAATACTGGGTCACGAACTTGTCCTAACTTGCAGTTAAAGCGACCACGAATGAACGAAACGACCAGCGACATATAATACACGGGTGTACGAAATAGTCTCGTATCATTTGTTCGTTAAGTGTCCCTGTCGAACATGATAAATCGTTCCAAGCGGATCGATAGGTTCTTCCTGGCCCGCATCCCGGGATCTACAGCTTTCAGATGATTTCCGACTGTCACACGATCTTCTCTGCATTTAGCAATCGCAACGACATTATCTTTTTTAACTCACGGATCTTTGTATAGATGTGATTTTCATCTTTCGCGACCCCCCCCCCCCCAACCCCTCCCCATCTTCCGATGACCAGACGACACGCAGTAATACGCGGCACCGATAAAAAATCGCGACGATCAAAGATGATTTTTTTCAAATGGTCTACGATCTAAGTTTCAGGGTTTGAAGCTTCGAAGTTGCAGAATGCAGCGAAATTTAATTTTCGTGCAGTTAATTTGAAATTCGAGCCAGGATCTTTATCGGTGTCTCGCGGATTTATCGTATTAACGTTTAAAAAACAAAAAAAGGAACTCGTCGCGACAGCACTGTATACACGTTCCACCGTGCTACGTTTTCGACTCGCGAAAGTGGATCTTACAGCGCCTAACGAGTAATAAATCTACGACTAACGAAAGTTTGATGACACAATTGTGTTATTTCACTTTCGTTGCGAAAAGTTCAGTTGAATTAACAAAGTTGTATCGTTCCTTCGAGCCATCGACACTATTATCCGAGCAACGTTTTACTTCGTTGCGACGTCTCGAATTGCAAAAATTGATTTGTGACCGTGAGAAGTGTTTTCGCCATAATGACTGTACATGTAAATCACAATCGAGTATATTTACTGTTTGAATTATCGAAATTTCTCTGTCAAATTTTTATCTCTCGCGAGAAAGCTTCGGCATAATGGGATTTCCACTAAACCAGGAAATGTATTATATTGTAAGTAGAAATGGATGTAAGTTTGCGTAATTTTCTGTAAGTTATTCGTATAAGGTTGTACTAGACGTAACGTTTACGATTACAAAAGGATATGTACCTAAGGTTTAAGGATCATGCTCTCGGGCATCGAAACAACCAAATGTAATTATTCATTGTGATGCATTATGATCTGTGTAATATATTGCAATAAAACTGTCTATGCTAATTATCTCGTTGAATCCTCTGTCTGTGGCAAAAGTTTCGCAGATTTCAAAATCAGAATTTTATAAAAATGACGAAACAGTAAAATAGGGAAACAGAGAGAAAAAAAAAAAATATAAATATATATATATATTGTAACATTCACCAACGGAGAAAATATATATTGTAACATTCACCAACAGAGAAAATATATATTGCAACATTCTTGTGTATCCGTTCAAGCTTGAACAAGAGCTTTGCCAATGTTCTTCCCTTGCAGCATGCCAACAAATGCATCGAACATGTTCTCAAAACCCTTTGTGATTGTTTCACGATAGAGAAGTTTCCCCTCGTGTATCCATTGAAGATTTTTCTGTACGCTTTCGTGCCAACGGTCGTACCAATCAGAAATCAAGAAACCTTCCATTTTCAATCGGTTAAACACAAACTGCGGTTGGAGAATCGTTGATTTTGGTAACGACGAAAGATCTGCATTGTACGAGGCAATAGATCCGCATGCAGCAATACGGCCGTAATTTTTCATCTGGTATATAACAATAGTGGAAATTTCTCCTCCTACCTGTTGTTATAACATAGATATAATAAATACATATTATAGATATATATAATATACTAATATTAGTGTATGTATTGCTGAAGCAAGTAAAATGTATACAATACTTATATATACCGATACTAATATATTAATATACTATGTATTATGCTATATAGTATACCAGATACTATAATATATACTAGTGCTAGAGAACTGTACATTATCAAAATAGCAGTCAATTCCGTTTGGCGCAGCTTTCTTTAAAAAAACTTCAACATCTTCGTTTTTGTAATCAATAGCATAGTCAAAACCAAGTTCTTCTACCAGCCATTTACACTTCTCATCTGAATCAGTAATGCCAATGACGGTAAGTCCAAGAATCTTTCCTATTTGACCAACGTGTGAGCCAACAGCTCCTCCTGCACCGCTCACAACAAGAACTTCACCCTGTTTTGGCTTACAAATATCTAGAAGGCCAAAATATGCTGAGTTTCTGAAAGAGGATACAACATCTTAAGCAAAAATTGCTCGGAAAACACAGATAAATGTGTGTCATGTTGATCAGAAAATTATACAGAAACAGATCAGACTGTAATATTTGGATGATATTCATTACCCTGTTATTCCTAAAATTCCTAAGTGCAGTGATGGTGGTAGATCTTTTATATCAGGTAACAATTTTGGTTTTAACTCTAAGAAGTCATATTCAGAGGAATATGGATTTATAATCGAGTGTGTTCTCCATCCCAAGTAACCAATAATTCTTTCTCCCACTGGGAATTCTGTATTCTTTGATTCAATGATTTTGGCTACTTGACTGCCAATCATTGTTATACCTATTGGATATCTCTGAGTGTAAACGCGCATGTAAGGATCCACAGAAAGGTATTCTGCTTGAACAAGGAACTCTAAAATTTAGATTGTATTATTTTACTTCCTGTATTACTATCCTTATTTTATATTATTACTGCATACAATTAGTACTCGTTTAGCAATTAATAATCATGTTAATAAGCATTATATAATATAAAGGACATTGAATTATCAGATTATCAAATATATTTAAAAATTATTCTGCGACAAAATGATATTATCATTTTCAAGTCAATGGCAACATCGTAATTATCTGATCGTGCAAAATCACGGCGAAATTTCGAAAATATTCTCATTGTGAGAATAAAAAATATTACAAAAACTGAAATGTATAAAATAAATTATTTTCTCTTGTTAAACAATATCTTTCTCTGTTTGTATCTTCTTTATAAACGCAACGCGTGCAGTGTAAAGAAGATATATATTATTCTCTTTTAACTATAATTCTTCAACAGTAGAACATCTATTCTTTTCTTTTTATTTAAAATTCGTGTTTTCTTATCAACATATTTCTTCAAAATCGAAATATATACTTCGTAGAAGTCTTTCAATTTCCTATTTAAGTCCAAGATAATGAGCATGTCTTAAATATAGATTACTTTTTGTCTTAAAATATGTTAATGCGCACACCTGATTTGCACAATTTGCATTCCAAAACATGTTGGATTATTTGCATATCTATTGAATATTAATCTGGTCATTCATATTACATATAATGTATAATGCACGCGATATTAAGTATCGTCTATAATGTAACAAAAAAAAAAAAAAGAAAAAAGAAAAAGAAAAAGAGGTAATATTGTGAGTTTCTCACTCTGTTTCAGTAACCACGGACTGCTTCCATTTGTGATTTTCCCTCTCACTTTCTTAACCACGGACTACTGATTATGAGTAAATTAAATGAAATGCACATTTTTAGTTAACACCTATAATATACAATATATACAAAATAGAACAATATATACATATAATAACTCTCGCATATGAAATCACTCTCTCACACTTTAGTATTACTCTCTCAACTCTAACTCGCACATGGACACTTGTTTCATCCCTCCTGGACAAAGGCATACAACAGCGCAATAATCTCGTTCCACTGTCTTCGCTCGACTCTCACGTGTGCTTACACACATATCCTAAAATCAAATCTACAAACATAAAACCTAATCTACCAACATAAAACCAAACCCACAAATATAATTACTTAAATTGGATTCAATCTTGAAAAAATTTCTTCTATGATCGTAGAAACGTTCGAATTTGCAAAATTTTCGAAACCAACGAAAAGTATATTTATTTACTATCCCATCCATTGGATGAAGTAAAGATGCATCGTAGAGAAAAACAGGCTAAGCGCTGCGAAAACAGAAGTTTCAAACTTCGAAATTAGCCCTTGTCCGTCCGATGTCTTACGATTTTTGAAGTGACGTCAAAAATCGACAATTTTTCAACTACAGTCTTAAGATCTCTTAACTATGTCGAGGGGTGTACAATGAATGCTTTCTATTCTTAAAAATATTAGTCACAACGATGTAATAATCGCAATGCACGATACCAAGTGCTGACACGGTTAATAACAAATCGTACAAGTACACATTTCAACAATCGAGATGCATGTCTACTAGATCTTTACCTCCATTCTGAAGATCAGGCAGCTCCTCTTCGACCAGCTGCAAATCCGATGGCTTTGGATCGTTTTGAAAATGTTTCACTACGACGAATCTCTTCACTTTGACCATTTTTCTTAAATGTTCGCAAAAAAAAAAAAAAACGGTAGAAAGTGACTTGTAACTTGCACACGTTATAATCGTCACTACTCAAAGATTGATCTTCCCTTTACTGGAGAAACAATTCGGAAAACTAGTTCGTAAATGCAGCATGAAACTGTGAAATACTTAATATCTTCGCACACAGCGGTCTTTATCATTTAACCTATTAGCACACCTTGAACTTTGGACGATTACATCATACTTGTTGTTTGTTTCCCTTCCTCCCGATTTTCTGTTTTCACTGACCACTAATACACACACAACACACTTATCAACTTTTGCTACGCTCTGATAATGTATCAATTAAACGTCCTCTAAAATAATTATTGTATAAATGTTAAAATTCTTATTAACGATAAGTAGGCATTGACGCACTGGCCGATTTCATAAATCCCGTCTGTGATACACTCTACGTTTAAGCAACGATGAATTGCAGAACTATATCGGGTAAAATGATGCAAGAAGTGTAGAAGGAATTAAGCTTATTCATTCGTTACAAGTAAGCTAAATAGTGTCGAATAATCTTTCGAAATATAGAAAACAATTTAATTGTCATAAAATGAATTATTGAAACTATGAAATAATGTCCGAGGATATTAAATAATTAAATTACTGATTCAATTGCTATAAAAAAGTCATTAAAATTATTAACTAATATATAAAAATACCATGTAAATGCAAAAATAATTTCTCTTTTTGCAAACATATTACAATATTTGCTGTTGCCTGAAACTAATGGCGTCTATAAAACAGCAAAAATCTAACAATTATTAAATTTTTCATTATTGTAAAATGAAAGCCGTATTTCGAAATATTGAAGACTTCCGTATCAGCAAGTAATTTCCATACAACTAACAATCAAGATTAATTATGTACATCCTGTCCTGTACGAAGTATCACATAATTACCAATCGTCATGTACGCATTGCTTAAACTTTAAAATGTTTCTGAACATTCCAATTGCTTAAATACAATACAATATTTCTAATGATTCATTTACAACAATTAAATAATAAATTTTTTTATGACATTTCTAAGTATTACAGTCAATTATTTGCAGTGATCGAGTCACATACATTTATAAGAAAATTTAATTAATTGCTCCACATTATTGATAAATAAAACAGTATTGACACACGATACACTATGATATAATATAATAAGACCCGTGCGTAGTCACCTCCACGTGGTGAATCTTGATAATTGGTATCGTTTTTTAAACTTTATTTATTTGCAAAACGATATCAAGCTAAGAACTACGCGAACTACAGTCCAGTTTAGATCCACAAAATTTCTTACGGTCTAGACTGGACTGCAGGAACAATTAGTTAATAAATAAATTATTAGACTAACCCTTGCCAGAACCGGGAAATATTTAAGCGGAAATATCTCGATGCCCAGGAGAAATTCTTCGCTGAATATTTGGATTGAGCATCAGGAGAAAGCAGGAGGTGCCACAACAAAGCCCCCGTCGACCGGTTATCCTGATACACAGGATACTCGAAAAATATTTAAGAGCGAATATCTAACCCAAATCCAGAAGATGTATATCGCCGAAATTTCGAACCTTGTATGAAAAGTGTAGCCGGCCTATAGCTCCTAAAGTACGAGTCTCGAACACCGACTTGTACAAGCCGCAAGTGATTGAGCGCCTAGCGTCGAAGTATAGCGATCTTCGATGTTAAGCAAACAGAGTGCGGAACACCGCTCTAGGATGGGTGCCCGTCCAGCCTAGCGAGTAGAAATAACAACAAGCGGTCTGGGGTAAGGGGTCGTTGCCATCAGCCCTACTTATGAGTAGTAGGCAGCGACACTGAGACGAGAAACCCACAAAAAACCATCCTTCATCCTTACACCATGAACACCCATTATCGCCCGTCAAGAAGAAAAAATTTTAGGTGTCGAAGAGGTGGGGCAACAAGAAAATACCCCTCCGTCGTGACCTTCTCCATTGATACAGAGGGTTTTCGAAAAATATTTCAGCCGGAATATCTTCGGAACAAAGAAGAATTTCTGGCTGAAAATTCGAGCTTTGGCTATAAGGAGAACATGACACTCAAGGAGGGTGGCACGACGTAGTCGGCTGATGAGCGTTTCTTGTGATACAGACGCTTTTCGAAAATTTTTTAATCTAAAGTATCTCGTGAACGAGGTGGAATTTCTGACAGAATATTATAGTTTTGAATCAAAAGAAAATGATACACGAGGAGATGGCATCGCACAGCTGATGAGCGGTTCTGCTGATACAGACGGATTTTGAAAAATTTTTGACATGCAATACCTCATAAACAAAGAGGAATTTCAGACTGAAAATTCGAGATTTGTATCAGGAGAACATGACACTCCAGGAGGTGGCACGACATCGCCGGCAAATGAGCGGTTCTCCTGATATAAGCGTTTTTCGAAATATATTTGATATGCAATATCTCCTAAACGAAGAGGAATTTCTGACTGTAAACTCAAGATTGGTATCAGGAGAACATGACACTAGAGGAGGTGGCACGACATCGCCGGCGGATGAGCGGTTCTCCTGATACAGACGTTTTTTGAAAAATATTCGACATGCAATATATCATAAACGAAGAGGAATTTCTGACTGAAAGCTCGAGATTGGTAGCAGGAGAACATGATACTCGAGCAGGTGGCACGACATCGCCGGCCGATGAGCGGTTCTCCTAATATAGGAGTTTTTCGAAAAATTTTTGACGTGCGATATTTCCTAAGCGAAGAGGAATTTCTGACTGAAAAGTCGAGATTGGTATAAGGAGAACAAGACACTCGAGGAGTTGGCACGACATCGCTGACCGATGAGCGGTTCTCCTGACACAAACATTTTTCGAAAAATTTTTGACGTGCAATATCTCCTAAACGAAGAGGAATTTCTGACTGTAAACTAGAGATTGGTATCAGGAGAACATGACACTCGAGGAGGTGGCACGACATCGCCGGCCGATGAGCGGTTCTCCTAATATAGGAGTTTTTCGAAAAATTTTTGACGTGCAATATCTCGTAAACGAAGAGGAATTTCTGACTGTAAACTCGAGATTGGTATCAGGAGAACATGATACTCGAGCAGGTGGCACGACATCGCCGGCCGATGAGCGGTTCTCCTGATACAGACGTTTTTTAAAAAATATTCGACATGCAAAATATCATAAACGAAAAGGAATTTCTGACTGACAGCTCGAGATTGGTATCAGGAGAGCATGATACTCGAGCAGGTGGCACGACATCGCCGGACGATAAGCGTTTCTCCTGATACAGACATTTTTCGAAAAATTTTTGACATGCAATATCCACTAAACGAAGCTGAATTCGAGACTGAAAACTCGAGGTTGGCATCAGGAGAACATGACACTCGAGAAGGTGGCACGACACCGCCGGCCGATGATCGGTTCTCCTGATACAGACATTTTTCGAAAAATTTTTGACGTGCAATATCTCGTAAACGAAGAGGAATTTCTGACTGTAAACTCGAGATTTGTATCAGGAGAACATGATACTCGAGAAGGTGGCACGACATCGCCGGACGATAAGCGGTTCTCCTGATATAAGCGTTTTTCGAAAAATTTTTGACATGCAATATCCACCAAAAGAAGCAGAAGTCAAGACTGAAAACTCGAGGTTGGCATCAGGAGAACATGATACTCGAGCAGGTGGCACGACATCGCCGGCGGATGAGCGGTTCTCCTAATATAGGAGTTTTTCGAAAAATTTTTGACGTGCGATATCTCCTAAGCGAAGAGGAATTTCTGACTGAAAAGTCGAGATTGGTATCAGGAGAACATGACACTCGAGGAGGTGGCACGACATCGCCTGCCGATGATCGGTTCTCCTGATACAGACATTTTTCAAAAAATTTTTGACGTGCAATATCTCCTAAACGAAGAGGAATTTCTGACTGTAAACTCGAGATTGGTATCAGGAGAACATGACACTCGAGGAGGTGGCACGACATCGCCGGCGGATGAGCGGTTCTCCTGATACAGACGTTTTTTGAAAAATATTCGACATGCAATATATCATAAACGAAGAGGAATTTCTGACTGAAAGCTCGAGATTGGTATCAGGAGAACATAATACTCGAGCAGGTGGCACGACATCGCCGGCCGATAAGCGTTTCTCCTGATACAGACATTTTTCGAAAAATTTTTGACATGCAATATCCACTAAACGAAGCTGAATTCGAGACTGAAAACTCGAGGTTGGCATCAGGAAAACATGACACTCGAGAAGGTGGCACGACATCGCCGGCCAATGTGCGGTTCTCCTGATACAGACATTTTTCGAAAAATTTTTGACATGCAATATCCCCTAAACGAAGAGGAATTTCTGACTGAAAAATCGAGATTGGTATCATGAGAACATGATACTCGAGGAGGTGGCACGATATCGGCGGCCGATGAGCGGTTCTCCTAATATTGGCGTTTTTCCAAAAATTTTGGACATGCGATATCTCCTAAGCGAAGTGGAATTTCTGGCTGAGAATTCGAGTTTTGTATCAGGAGAGCATTGTACTCGAGGAGGAGCCACGACATCGCCGGCCGATGAGCGGTTCGCCTGATATAAGCGTTTTTCGAAAAATTTTTGACATGCAATATCTCCTAAACGAAGAGGAATGTCTGACTGTAAACTCGAGATTGGTATCAGGAGAACATGATGCCCGAGGAGGTGGCACGACATCGCCGGCCGATGAGCGGTTCTCCTAATATAGGCGTTTTACGAAACATTTTTGACGTGCGATATCTCCTAAGCAATGAGGAATTTCTGACTGAAAAGTCGAGATTGGTATCAGGAGAACATGACACTCGAGGAGTTGGCACGACCTCACCGGCCGATGAGCGGTTCTCCTGATATAGGCGTTTTTTGAAAAATGTTTCACATGCAATATCTCTTAATCGAAGAGGAATTTCTGACTGAGAATTCGAGTTTTGTATCAGGAGAGCATGACACTAAAGGAGGTGGCACGACATCGCCGGCCGATGAGCGGTTCTCCTGATATAGGCGTTTTTCGAAAAATTTTTGACCTGTGATATCTCCTAAGCGAAGAGGAATTTGTGACTGAGAATTCGAGTATTGTATCAGGAGAACATCATACTCGAGGAGGTGGCACGACATCGCAGGCCGATGGGCGGT